ACTACTACTACTACTACTACTACTACGACTACGACTACTACTACTACTACTACTACTACTACTACTACTACTACTACTACCACTACCACTACTACTCCCATTACTACTGCACTGCGATGGCTACCACGGCTAGTAGTAGTAGTAGTAGTAGTAGTAGTAGTAGTGGTGGTAGTAGTAGTGGTAGTAGTAGTAGTAGTAGTAGTGGTAGTAGTAGAAGTAGTAGTAGTAGTAGTAGTACTGCGACTACTACCACTACTACAACTACCACGACTACGCCTGTTCCCACGACTTCGACAACTACCACCACGACTGCTCCTCCTCCTCCTCCTCCGCCTCCTCCTCCTTTTCCTCCTCCTCCTCCTGCCACCACTACTGGTACCACTACTACTACTACTACTACTACTACTACTACTACTACTACTATTTCTACTACTACGACGACTATTACGACTCCTACTACTACTACTACTACTACTACTACTACTACTACTACTACTACTACTACTACTACCACTACTACAACTACTAATACGACGACTACTACTATCACTACGACGACGACGACGGCGACGACGACGACTATTACTACGACTACTACCACCACGACTGCTGCTACGACTACTGCTAAACACATACAATCCAAGGTGAGCGTTTCACTCCCTTCATTCGCCCCCGATCCTCCCCACAACGTCCACCAAACTCGCCACACGAGGTTTCAGAACCATTGGAAAACAAACCAAGTCAAAAAGCAAATGAGAAGCATTGCAAACAAGATCTGCTAAAACAACAAACAAGCATTCATTTCGAACATTAATCGTCGTAAAGGGGTCGTCCGACTGGGAATCCAACCAAAAACAGTGAGAAGGCAAGTGATCATTGTGAGGGCTCCCCGGACAAACACATTTCGCAACTAAATCGGCGGGGGGACGTCAGCCTGGGAATCACGGAGGGATGTGGAGGGAGGGGGCATGCAAAACGACGACGATGAGGGGGCGAGCACGACTGGCCTGTTGCAGCACCAGAAAAAAAGATGGAGGAGCTCTGAAACGACGACGAGGGAAAGAAACACAAACTTGGACAAAACACGCACACTGATTTCTTGGATCGCCCTTCTCCCTGGGGCGGCGCCGATCCGAGACATCCGCGCGGACCTGCGACAATTTACGCTTACGCCGCAAGCTCTTCTTCGAGAGGTGGGCGAGGATCGGGCACGCACTGCCTCGGGCCAACACAGGCCAAGGTCGGCCGAGGCTCTGTCGCTAAGCCCAACCGGCCGCTCAGCAGATCCCCAAACGCGGACAGGCGGAGGGCGGAAAGGGCGTGCGGCTCCCAAACCTGGGTCAACCAGAGGGGACTGCCTGACCCCCGCAGGCGCTGGCCCCACACGTGCGATGTCTTGACTTGTTGTTCCATGCGGGGTCCCCTTCTTCGCCAGCTTCTTGCCCGGAATCGGTTTTGACCGCCCCCGGGGCCAAGCGAGCCGGCAAGGGCCCCCGAGGCCGAAAGCGGCCCCACATCTCCTGCCATGATTATGTTGCTCCCATCGTACTCAAGGGCCCAGCCCTGACCTAATTCCGAGCACCCAGAAAAGTAATAAACCAGTGTCGAACGGGGGTCGCCTCCCCAGGCCCGACGCGCGAGAACCCTCAAGTTTCTGTACTGCTTGGTGCTCGAAGTTCTCTCTGGTGAGCAAGGCGAAAGGAGGTTGGACCATCGGCAGTGGACAAACCTCCCTTTAGTAAACCTCCCTTTAGTGAAAACGGCCTGGGACCGAAACCGACGGACCTGGACCCGCAAAGATGACGGCCGCGACGCCCTCTCGCGAACCGCAAACGGCCAATTCACTAATCGACGTGTCAGGGTAGGAGGCCTGTCCACCCCCGAGACCACCATAACGCCACGTGCATTCTCTGCCACGGCCCCGCGAGGACGAGGAGGCCGCTCGACCGGCGCCCGCGAGGGAGGCGCGGGCCGCGGGCCGCGGGCCTCCTGAGGCGGGCGACGGCGTCGCGGTCGGCCGACGGGGAGACGTCCAGGTAGAACCTGCGGGCCATCCCCAGGGGCTTGTCGACTCTTCGCCCGTCGACTTGTGGGGATCGAGCCAGGCGAATCCAGGCAAATGCAAATATACATCGAAATAAATCCAAGTAAATCCAGGCACCTGTCGTTTCGCGTGTCGCGGCGGCGGCTATATGCCCTGCGAGCGGGTATAGCGTGTCGCTCCGCGCCGCGGGCCAGGAGGCTCGGTGAGGCTCGGGAGGGGGGCGACCAGGGATCAGGAAGTGAAGGCGCGTCGCGCCGAGGCGTGGTGGGCCAGAACCAGCGGAGCGACGCGCTATCCAAAAGCTCCTGACTGTAATTGACCCGCCCTGGGGCGAAGGACGCCAGCAGGCGGACGGGGAAGATCTGCGGAAGGGCGAGACCCAGATCTCCGACGATATGCTTTTTATCAGTCCCGGCGATTCTCCTCGATCTCGGCCTCCGGGGACTGCTCTTGGGCCCAGGGTGCATCAAAAGTGAATCGGGGACGAGCAAGCTCCCAGGGCATGGGTCGGGACCCCTGGGGCCGCGCACGGGCAAAATGCTGTCGCCCGATGCCGGGGATCTGCTGACCCAGGTCGATCCAGACTAAAGGAACCGCAGAACACATAAATACATACACACAAATAAAAGTGTTCCCTATATTGAATCATATTTTTGGGGTTTTCGTCTTCCCCCCCACCTCCTAGCACTTTCCCATATTTTCTGGGGACTCGCGCCGGATCTCTGGCCGACCCCCGTTCGCAGCGGTCCCCGTCCCAGAGGATGCCGCGAAGGTGTCTCTGTGGGGCCTTCGCCGCGGGCCAGGCGGCGCGCGGGCGCTGCCCCACTTCTCAGCAGGCCAGGGTGCGGGCCTGCAGGCGCCACGCGCGCGCCTGCGGCGGAGGTCACCCGCGCGTCACCCGAGACGCGCCCACGCACACGCACACGCACACGCCGCTCGGCGTCGCGGCCTGGCGCGCAGCGTCGAGGCGCAGAAGGTCGAAGAGCGGAGAGCGGGAAGCGCGCGAGGCAGAACCAGGGACTGGGATCCGCCCGTAGGGAACCACGCGTGCCGAATGCAAACCCAGGGCAGGGATGCAGGGGCAAGTCGCGGGTGAATGACAAGGAGGAGGCACACACACACACACACGCACGAACGCATGCTTCTGTTTGCAGACGTGGGCAAGCAATCCGCGGCACCTGAAATACACCTGGCCAGGACACCGCCGCCCGCCAACAGATCAAAGTCGCAACCATTTTCGGAGTGAGAGCCTTGCCTGACGACGCCAAGCCTCACGGGCAAACGTAATCGAAGCGAGCCGCAGGGGTGTCATGCAAGGGAAGTACCCAATGCAGAAATGGTCTATCCTGATGGTGGTGGTGTATAAAAGTCGGGCCCCTCTGTAACCAACATTGTATACACAACCACCGCGCTTGTTTTGATGAGCCCTGTTCTGGCCCCTGTGCGCCAGGGAGCGGGCTCTGTCGGCGCTGGTGGCGGGGCTGCATTAGCGTTTCCCCACAAGAGCCAAACTCATTCGCCTGCGAATGGGGGCCAGACTGCTAGGGGTCAGAATCAGCGGAAAGGCCAACGACGAACAGGCATGTATTCTGAGAAACACACTGGCCCAGGTGAAGAATGTCCATTGAAGTCAGCAGGGCGAAGCCAAGCAATGCCTATCAGTTGAAACGAAGACGGCACCTCTTCCTGACCTCAAAAGGCTGCCCCCCATTAGCATGCAAAGGACAAACAGCGCCAAGCGGATTGCTTTGTTTCCCCTTTTCGGAAGTGGTGGACATCTGCCATGCTCGCTTGAAAGCAACGGAGGCAGAGACGCGCGTGTCCGCCAGCAGGATGGGAGCAGCGAGGGTGGGCGGGGGCCCGTTCAGATGTTCACGCACAGAGGGTAAACATGTTCCACAATTGCTCCGCAACGCTGAAGGGGCCCAGAGACATACAATGAAATAGACACACATCCGAGAGTTCTCCATACTCTTATGTATTTCTGTGGCTTTCGTCTTTCCCCCAACTTCCCATATTTTTTGGGGCAGTCGACCATCAATCGTGCTGGTGTTCTTTCCCCTCCTAAGGCCTTCGGACCAAAGCGGGAGCACGGGGGGCGAGACCGAGGACACGGAACGAGCCACACGCCAGGAGCGCAGAGCACCAGAGCACGAAGGCCGCAACAAGGACGGCCCGGACCGGAACGAGAACACGGCCCGGTCTACGCCGGGAGCGGCTGGGGCCAGTCACCCAGTCCAGGATCAGCCGCGCAACGGAGAGGAAGGAGGAGGCCGAGGAGGAGGAGGACAGCGAAAGAGAAGGCAGGGAGGCTCAAGATGGCGGAGAAGATCACAGAGGTGAGGCGAGGCTCCAGATGTGGAGAAGAGAGAGGGACAGGAGATGAAGCGAGACAATCAGGACGCTCCAGATGGTGGAGATGCGTGAGGGGATGGAAGAGGGGTAGAAGGACGAGGGGAATGAGGGAGGAGAGGGGAGAGCAGTCGCGAGAGCACTGCTCGGTGGAAACGCACATCTTCTGCTAGACTTGTCGCAGAACAGCGCGTGAGGACACGTAGGAATACAGCGCGCCGCTGGTTCACCCGAGAATGCTGAACCTCCTCCTCCTCCTCCTCTTCCTCCGCTCGCCCCTCCTCTCACTGGTGCTGAGTCTCGTCCTCCTCCTCCACCTCCTCCTCCTCCTCTTCCTCCTCCTCTCCCTCCTCCCCCTCCTCCCCCTCCTCCCCCTCCTCCGCCTCCTCCCCTCCTCCTCCCCCTCCCCCGCCTCCTCCTCCTCCTCCTCCTCCTCCTCCTCCTCCTCCTCCTCTTCATCCTCCTCCTCTTCATCCTCCTCGTCCTGCTGTAAACCATGCCCCACTTGTTCCGTGTTCGCCGCATCCGAACACGACCAACTTGCGCGATTTCCGATAGGACCTCCACCCGTGGAAAACACACTAGATCACGTGGCAACGCGAGTGGGCGGAACAATCATTCGCAACGTCAAGCCACAACAAGAAACGAGAAAACTAACAATTCTTAGATACTCGCCACTTGGCAGCAAAGCGCGGAACAAAACCACTGCACCCTACCCATCGCGCGGCAACGCTGAAGAACAAATCACTATTACTATACAATCTATTTTGACCCCGCATGCCAAAACGGAAACAACAACACCTGTACCAACTGTGCGTTCTGCGACGAGGGCGACTACGGATGACGACGAGGACAGCAAGGACGACTACGACGGAAAGAGGAGAAACAACCGCAGAGACACAACAGGGGTAACACAAGTGCGAATGGGAACCTTCATAGTCATCCTACTCCTCATCCTCCCCCACCCCCTCCTCCCTTCTCTCTCTCTCTCTCGCTCTCTCTCTCTCGCTCTCTCCCTCTCTCTCCTATCTCCCTCTCTCTCAAGCTTTGTCTAGATATACATCTTTATATATGTGTATATATATATATATATGTGTGTGTGCACCCCTTATTCTGTCTCTCTATAGCTATGTCTTCATATGCAGATATAGAGACCCCCGCAGTTGCGGATCAGAGTGAGGGAGCGGGGGCGGGGCGGGTCGCGGGTGGGCGGCGGGCTGTTCGCGGGGTGGGTCGCGGGTGGGTCGCAGATGGGCCGCGGGTGCGTCAAGAGTGGGTCGCGGGAGGGCCGCGGGAGGGTCGCGGGTGGGCCGCGAGCGGGTCGCAGCCCGGTCGCGGGCCGGGACACGAGTCGGACGACGACAAGAAACAACAACAAACAACAACAAACAACAACAACCATATCCACAGCAACAACGACCAGGAACAATAATACAACAACAACAAACACAACAGCCGTAACAACACTGACACCAACAACCAACACAAACACCAACAACGCTTGTTGATGTTGTTGGTGTTGCTGTTGTTGTTATTGTTGTTATTATTGTTTTTGTTGGCTGTGGTCGTCGTCGTCCCACTCGCGACCCGGCCCGCGACCGGCCCGCGACCCGCCTGCGACCCAACCCCGACCCACCCGCAACCCACCCCGCGACCCACCCGCGACCCAACCGCGACCCATCCGGCACCTGCCCCCTCACTCTTATCCGCAACTGCGGGGTGCTATATTTGTGTATATCTTTGTATACGTATGTATAAGATGTCCCTCTCTCTCTCACACTCTTCCCATCTCTCTTTCACACACACACTCTCCCTCTCTCTCTCGTTTTTTTGTTGTTCTCTCTCTCTCTCTCTCTCCTCGCCGCTCCTCCATACACTTATCCTACCTTTTTGTCCTTCGCCCGTTTCCCCGTCACCTCTCCCCCCCCGTTGCTCCCCCCGTACCCACACTCCTCCGACTCGTCTTCCGCTACCCTGATGCCTCATTCGCAGGAGCTCCTCGTCCTCATCAGCTTCCTTCCCCAAACTCTCATTGCTACCTGCCCCTCCTCCTTCTCCTCTGGGCCCTCCCCCGTGCACTCGTCGCTGCCCTTGGCCAAGCCTGGCCTGGCCTAGAGCAAATCGACTGTCATACGCACCAAACTAGGTCGGACCATACGTCACGAACCCGCTCAGCCCCGCTACGCTTCGAAGCAATCCGACTCATCCTGCAGGTCCTGCTCGTCCTATTGCTCCTCCGCCACCCTCGGCTACTGCTCCACCGCCGCCTCCTCCTCGTACCTCTCTCTCTCTCTCCCTCTTTCGACCACCCTCTCTATCTCGGTCTCCCCCCGTCACTCTCCCTCTCTCTCTCTCTCTATCGATACCTCTTTCTCCCGATGTGTAGATGCACGCATACTATATACGGACAGGTGTGTGTTTGTATCAATGTGTACCTTTCTCTCTCCCTCGCTGTCTACCAATGTGTGTACACATGTACGTAGATATACGTCCACAATGACAACTGGGCATGTGATCCAGAAACCTATCACTTAAAAAAAAGGGGCAGCTCCCCTCAAGTTTTCTGAAGAGAACCTGGATGCGATCCTGTTGTTAACGCTGGAGGGCGAACATGTTCAAGACACTGGGCCAGCTTTCCGGCAAGATGGTCAAGACACGCTGACCCAGCATTTCGGGAGGAGGTTCCTAAATCAAATGATCGACTGGATATAACCAGCATCCTGCCGGTGCGGCCATTATCGTTGCCCCATTAGCAGTTCAACCGAGAAAGGCATCGCAACAAACACAAGAAAGAACCTCATGTAGCACGCCTTCACGAGGCCGTCCCGGATCCACAGGTAGTCGCTAGAGCATGGAAGCAGGGAAATATTTGATGATGTTAGAGCTTCCCCTTCTCCTCCTCTTTACCCCCCCCCCACCTTCTATCTTCGTCTTCCACCTCATTCCACGTTAGCCGTGTCCTGCTCCTTCTCCTCTACACTGCTCTTCCGTCGTGCCCATTTCTTCTTCCTCCTCCTCCTCCTCCTCGTCTCGCCGTCCGCCCTACTGGCCCACTCCCGCTGGTCGACCACCTCCTCCCCCTTTCCCGTCCTGTTGGATATTCAGTGGACCACGGCCACCCAGTGTTTCGCGCTGCAGGCTATGCTGCAGTCGTAACCGGCGAGCAAGGCGAACTCGTGGGAGCTACTTACCTATGGGCCAGTTGGCATTAGCCTTCCCCAATCCTGTGCCGAACATCTTGCTGTGCTTACTACTGTCTCACATGCCGCTCCCCACTCGATCACCCAGAGAATCAATGATTCTTAATGCAATTTGGAAGTTTACAGTAAGCACCAGCACTATAGGAAGTATCAGTGCGTTGGTGTGGCCATGCATGCCAACAGGAAGCATGGGGTGGAGTGATGCTGTCGAGTGCGTGAAGAAAAAGACGCATCACGACCTTGAGGCCCTCCTTCAAGGCTCCCAGGAATGGCTGGACGCCGAAGAGAACGAGTTTGCGGACAAGTGTGCTAAACTAGGAACTCAATGTCTGCTGCGTCCGCCAGTTGCGGAGGTCGAGGCAACTGACAACGATGGCAAGCTTTAAGGAAATGGCTAATCTATATTGCAAGGAGCCTCAGCGTGTGGAGGCCAGTAGGACCAACCAAAAGCAAGAAAGGAGCCACCTCTCCTGACAAGAGCGCCACCCAGCAAGTCGCAGCTGCAGCGCGGAATGCCCTCGAGGCCTGCGCCAACGAGCCCGTCCTCCTCCCGACCACGACAGGGCCCCCTGCCCTATCGCTTTCAAGACACGTTGGAGTGGGGTAGGAACAGGAAATGGATCTGTGCCGTATGCAGGTGCAGGTACGCGCAAGGCAGGCTTGAAGCCCGACGCAAGGAACACTGCGCAGGTCAGCATCAGTAGGTGTCACTCACATTGCGGCCAATCCTCCAGGCCACCAGCCTGTCAGAGGCGACAACTTCTCGCTTACACGTGCGAGCCTCGGTGGGCACAATGAATCGAATGCCAGGAGGTGTATGAAGGCAGTGCGGAAGAGGGTTTGATCGCCAAGGTGAACGTGGTCTTATTCGGCGTTTCGACATTGGGCTGAGGGCGGGGGAGGGGGGGGGGTCTGGCTCCGGACCTCTGCTTAATACCACTGCTTGCAGCAGTGCGTTCGACGGGGGAGGCGCCACTTGCTCGAAACGGGCGCCCAAAAACAGCCAAGATCCACTCCATGGGAGGGGGGGAAGGGGGGGAGCGAGGGCCAGCGCCGATCGGCGAAACAATGAGTAAGACAACGACGACCAGGAGATCGGACCGAGTGGATCTGTTTTGCAGGGGCAGGCACCCCGAGAGGCATGCTCTTCCGACCCCCTTCCTGATACGGGAGCCCTGTGGCGAGACCGGCGGAGGTCCTCCCCCTTGTCCGCGACACTCCAGGCCGCAGGGTGGAGGACCCGCCCCCCACCACGTGACGATGGATGCTCACTATTCTTCTCATGCGTCCTTCTCCATCTCCTGCTCCTCCTCCTCCTCCTCCTCCTCCTCCTCCCCTCCCATCCTTTTATCTCACTTATGTCCTCCTCCTTCCCCGCCTCCCTTTCCTGCAACCTCTTCGTCGTCCCGTCTCGTCCTTCTCCCATTCCTGCAGCATCCTCCGCATCCTTCCTTCAAAAATCGTCTGATTCCCCTCCCATCTTCATCATCCGCAATCAGCGTTTCGTCGCTCCCCGCCTCTCTACCACCTCCTCCAGGTCCGTCTCCACTACATCCTCCCTCCTGCTCCCCTGCTTCCCCACTCCTCCTCCTCCTTCTCCTTCTCCTCGTCCATCGTATGCCTCTATCTCTCTTCCTCATCCTCTGCCTCCTCGTCCTCGACCACGTCAGTGACCCCGTCCTCGTCCCAATCTCTTCCTGCACATGCACCTCTATGTGTGCGTGCATAGCTTTGCCCTGTTTTGTAACCCCGCCGTCTACTCATATGATTAACCGCGCTTTCGATCCCGCCTTGACACAATACCATCGGCTGCCCTCTGTCAGCGTATGTGACCATATATGTTTACGTGAATGTGGAGCAAGCCCCACAGGCAAGCCCCACAAGCAATCCAATGTTGCAAACACTATGGCAACGCATGTTTCCTGCAAGCTTGAATGTGTAGCAAGCCCCACAAAATGGAAAACAAGATGGCACAAATTTACTTGTATCTGTTAGCAAACAAGATAGCGCTCACAAGCCCCCTGTGCGACCGGCAAGCGCGCCTGCCCGGGGTGGTGCCCATCTTGCTGGTCCGGGCCCACGTTGCCAGCTTGTCCTGCGCTGCACGACACGGTGGTGCGCAAAGCTCGCTGGCCAATCACATTGCAGCTGAGTATACAGCTACCCTGCTGGAGTGGCGTAGGGAAATGCGGGGAGGAAGAGGAACCGTATGAGGACGAAGAAAGGCGAACAACCATTTGGTCACATGTGCTGGGGGGAAATGCTTCGCAGATGGTGGAATCTTGGGTGTGGAATTGCGGCTGTATCACACGCGTAGCGCACCAGCTGTGCCAGTCAAGCGCAACGTGCAGCCGCTCCGCAATGAGAACGAGGCCTGCAAAGCTGGCTTTTGACGACGACCTCGCGAATGGAATGGGTTCCGATGGGGGGCGGAGGATGGAGGACCGATCTTGCCCAGTAAGACGGCCAGAAAGGCCCCCAAGAAGCCCCCAAAGGCCTTCAAGCGGCCCGAGAAGGCCTCTAAAAATCCTCCAAGGTGTCCCCAGGGAGCTCCCAGGAGGCCCAAGGAATGACGCAAAAGGCTCCCAAGAGATCTCCTCATCCTTCTCCTCCTCGTCCTCCTCCTTTCACCTCCCTGTCCTCATCTTCCTGTTCCTCGCCCACGTGTTCGCCGAAAGGTGTCCACAGCGGCTCGGGGAACGCTTGGTCCGATAGATTGCCCAAGCTCTGGACCCACCAAACGTTTGGCCACAGAGGCGCTGTTCAAAAAATGCAGCGGCCGGCGGTGATTCGCCGTAAGCGTCTTCGATCAGGACATCGCCTACCTGGGCATGGGGCGCGACATGCGTGGGGGGAGCGCTGGATTCGGGGTCCCCAGAGAGGGGCTTGAGGGCCAGATGCGGGCCGCTTGGGTCCATGCGGCACGAACTGGCTAAAGGGCGTGCCGAATCTGGTATTCCCTGAGGGGGACCTGACGAAGGCCAGATGAGGGTCGTTGAGGGTCCGTGCGGCGCGACCTGGCTGATAGATGTGAATATGGGCTCCCTTGAAGGGTCTGGAGGGCCAACTGGGGCTCTCCACGGTTCCGTTGGCCACGAGGCGGATGACGGGTGTTGCGAACCGAATTCGCGCAGAGCCGTCTTGGAATTCGTGGGGTGTGTCGAGCCGTGGCCCCCTCGGACCGTCTCGGAGGCCTGCCGGGACCCTCTCGAGAAGTCTGGATGCACGAAGCGGTGCGTCAGCGCTGTGCCAAATCGGGGCTCCGCCGAGCAGCATGGGCGGCAAGCGATCCGCTCCGGAATCGCCACGAGGCGTCAAGGGCGCGAGGCGAGGCGAGGCGACGCGAGCGCCGGTGTCCATGACCGCACTGACGCGCGGCCGCGGGCCCGGAAGGTGTCGGCGGTGGGGCCGTGGCCCCGTCAGAGCATGACGAAGACGTTCCAGAATCAGTTCGCTGACCATCCTCACGTCCTCGTACCTGAGCTCTGCAGCGCCATCGCACTGGATGCCCCTTGCAGATGAAATTAAGAAGGGCTATCACGGTGCTCGTTTTCAGCAATCCAGTCCTCTGCGGCATGACACATCAATGGGCACATATGGATAGAGTACGCTATATCGTCGCAGCCCCTTGCTCCGAACCTCTCAACAAAACCTGTGAAAATCCGCCCCAGAATAATGCGCCATGGATACCAAAATCGATGATGACGCCAAAACTCGTTCCGAATCTCAACGGAAAGTGCGTCCGTATCCGTGTCTGTCTCCGTAGCCACCCACCACGACTTCATCAAAAGCGTGTGGGTGCGTCGAACTGCGGTTCCCTGAACCACCTGGGCGACACATTGAAAGCCTATGTGATGCCGAAGTGTGCGGACGTGCCTTGGGTCTCTGCCACATCGGGCCTCCACCGAGCGCCTCTGAGGAGCTCTGGGGGTCCGCGCATTGACAAAAAGCAAAATTTCAAAAGTCTCGGAGGAAAGCTCGCCTCCGCCACAATCAGCCAGCCCCTTCACCCCAGTAGGCGGGATCTGGGCAGGAGGGGGAGGCCTAAGGGGCCCAAATGCGCAACGAACATAAAACGGGTCTGACCATGACGTAGCGACCTCACGCGGCGGCTCACGCGGGCCGCCAGCACGCCATGCCTCACCGGGGAGGAGGACGCCTGTGCGCGACCCTACGCGGGCAGCGTATGCGCCAGTGTCGGTGAAGGCGACCTCCTCTTCTCTGCGTCGCTGACTGACTACCTACCAGACCACCCCAACCCAACCCGAAGACCCGAATTTGACCCGAATTTCGGGTTTGGGGGGGGGTACGGGTTCCATATGTGTTTTTCAACGTTCCCCGACCCCCCCCCCACTGGAAATCGATGGCGAATTGAGGCCTTCGGGTTGGGTTGGGGTGGCTTGGTGGGTGGTGACTGACGTGCCCCGTGCGACTGCGCCGCAGGCACCCGCCTCGGCAGCATCGTTTTCTCCCTCCGTGTTCCTCCTCGAGGCTCGAGGCAACGGAGGCGCAGGCCGACCGTGGTCATCCCTCCGTGGCCAGCCCACTCTGCGCACGCGCAGTGTGCCCGCTCCAGGGCCCAAGCCACGAGGGCGGGAGGCGTACACGTACAACGAAGATGGAACGTATGGGTGGGGCGTATGACCCAATGCAGGAGGAGACGAGGATAGAAACGAATCTTCGATCCTCTGCTAGTCGCCCCTAGACCGGTTGGCCTTCGACCGAATACAGGAGGAGGAGCAGGAGAAGGAGGAATACTCACCCTTTCTCGAGCCAAGCTCTTGAGACGCCTTTTTCCGCGGCAGCGCCAGAGGAGCGAGCACCTACGTCCTATACTACTCGCGTCGGCCTCGACGCGGCCTCGAGAGAAGAGGGCGCGCAGAGCGAAATAAACACACACACACACACCAGGCGTACAGTGGAGGCCAGTCCCCAAGAAACCTTCCACAAGAAACCCAACCCTGAGACCCCAGAACGTCCATTGATTTTTGGTGTGGGATCGTCCAGCTGTCTATGGCAAGACCATCGAAGACCAAGAAACACAGGGCACCCTGGAGGCAAGCAGGTGTCTCTTGACACGGGCCCCCACTGTACTTTTGCAGTATTCGGCAGGGCTGCCTGGAAGCGCTCGCGGGCCCTTGTGGGACCGCGCGCGGCTCCGCGAGAACTGGCGAGTGTGAAACCAGGGATGCAACGAGAGGAGGCGACGGGACCGCGTGGTCGCACGTGCCCCAGAGAACGGAGGCTGATCTTTTCGCTTCCGCTCTCCGCCCCTGGGAGGGGCAGCAGAGAGGAGGCATGATTGACCGGGGACCGACCGCCCCAGCACTCCTATAGGCCCACCACGCCATGTTCTCAGAACCCCAACAAAAGTTCTAAGAACACCAGCAATGTGTTTAGGAATCTAAAGCCCGAAGTATATAAGGCCCGATGTGATTGAACAAGACAGCCTCAGCCAGACATGTTCTGAGAACATGTTCGTGCAATCCACCGGAGCTTCTTACAACATTCGTGGGTGGGCCTATATGCAAGCCGCGACGCTTCGCCACTGCTTGACACGAGGGGGAGAGCGAGCAGCATGCGGAAGACATCTGCACACCACCACCGTGCCTGGTCAGGACCATGCCGGGCCCTGGCCTGGGGCACCCGCCCCACTGGACTCAGGTCGGGCATGTCCCCTTACAGGCGGGTTTCGGATGAAAATGGGAAAAACAACAACAACAACGTTACACATAGTAGAAACATCGTCCCCATACTATTCTAAAAATGATTTGGGAATCTTACGCCTGTAGAAGGACACGCCCGCCTGAACCCTGGACGAGGCCAGGAAAAGGCTTTTTTTGAATCGGCGATAGCCTGGGTTATCCCGGGGGGGAGGGGGCCGGCCGATAACCCAACCTTCGCGCTGTGGGTAGCCCTGCATATGCCCGCGCCCCCCCATCCCCGACCTGCACAACCGGCAAGGTTAGGTTATCCTGGGGGGGCAGGAGGGGGGGCAAGCCCGATAACCCGGGCTATCGCTGGACCCTAACAAAAATAGTCTCGAGGGCCCCTGTGCACACGCCACCCCGGGGCCCAGCTTGGCTCTCTAATGGCACGGCGCTCGTGTCTGTGTGCATCCTGCGGAGGGGGGGGGGGCGGGAACGGGGATGCGGGCTCGGGGGAGGGAGATCGGGGAGAACGGAAGGGGGGGATAGCAGAGGGTAGGGTAGAGAATCAGCTAACGTATAGCTGATCTTCCAGCGCCTCCCGGCGCCGGGAGGCGCCCCTGTATCGACGAATGGGGCCGGCGGCGGGGCCGAAACCAGCTGCATGCCGCAGATTTCGTACCCCCCTTCCGTTCGGCCCGAGAAGAGGAGGAGGAGGGGGAGGAGGGGGAGGAGGGCAAGCTAGGTGCTCTCGCGTCATATCTGACATCCTACCCCTCCCTCCCATCCCTTACCATGGCGTAGATCCCCTCTCTACTCGCACAGTCCGAAGTCGAGCAGGGCAATGATCGCGAAAGGGTACGCGATGCATTGTAGAGCACGGCGTGGCATGGCGTAGAAGAGCACCGCAAAGCGTAGTATCAACCTAGCATTGCATTGCATGCCGTGGCATGGCACGGGAAATGACGCCAGCGCTGCAGCGGGAGCACGAGTCGAAACGAGCGGAAGCGCGGAAATGAGGCCAGCGCTGCAGCGGGAGCACGATTCGGAACGAGCGGAAGCACGGAAATGAGGCCAGCGCTGCAGCGGGAGCACGATTCGGAACGAGCGGGGCCCGAAAATGAGGCCGGCGCCTCAGCGAGAGCAGCATTTTGAAAAAAATGCAAGCGAAAACCTAACTCCCGGGAATCTTGTGTGTAAAAAAACAGTACGCAGGGGGGGGGGGGTCGAACACTCCCAGCGCGTCATCAGGGGAAGAGGGAGAGTAGTATTCACATTGAGTAATTGTGGAGGAGGGCGAGGAGGAGGTTCCTCCCCTCCTCGTCAACTTATCTCCCCCCCCTTTCGCTCGGCCCAAGAAGAGCAGGGCGCGCAGGGCGGCCGCGCCCGTCGGGACGCCCGCCGGCGACGGCCGCACAAGGAGTCCTATAGCGGCCTCAGCCCTCGCCGCCGCTGGCCGCGCAGATCGAGGGCCCGGCCCCCGGCTTCGCCGCGAGCTCGGCGCTCGCCCGGGAGCGCGGCCACCGGCCCGCGGCGCGGCGGGCGGCGTCGGATCCTGCGGGCCCCGGCACGGCGAGCCCAATCCATTCAAACAATTGGGCAAGCAATATATTGCAACCATGCCTTATTTCAAAAAAAAAAAAAATGTCTCTTTCACATTCACCACACGCATACCTTCTAAATTCATCACATTCCATGTTACAACCTCCTGGTGGATCTTGCCTTTTACAACACTCATGGGCGGGGCGCGCCTCCGTGTCCACGGCCCCGCGGTCCAGACGCCTCGGCCGCGACCGCACGGATGCGGAGGCGGCCCTGCGCGGATGCCCGCGCATGGGATCGCGTAATGCAGGATGACGATCGATAAAAAATGGGAGAGAACGATTAAAACATAGTTTTCTGTTATTTCTCCATAATTTTCTGACTGGAGGAGAACGATAAAAATAGTTGTCCAGCCCGCGGCCGGTTTTTTCTAATCGTCATCCCGGGCGCCGCCGCGTGAACACGACCCCCGGTCATTTATGAATCGTCATCCTCCATTATGCATGGGGGTCGCGCCTCGGTGCCCAGACCGCGTGGGTATGAATGTACACGTCGGCCGGAAGAAGCGGGTACGAGCGGCATACAAAAGCATGGCGTAGGAAGGCGGAGAAAGTGGATAAGGGTTCAGGCCCTCCCAGAGAATGACAAAACACAGCAGGAGCTCATCGATCATTGAGGCGCTTGAAGTAGATTGGCATCTGTGAATCAATAAACACTACTTTCAACGACTGACGTGTAAAGACACATGTGCGCCGCTCGTGGAACGAGGTGTCGCCAGCCCCTCCCCGCCCTCCCTTGGCAGGGCACGGCAGGGATCTCGAGGCAGAAGGGCTCGGGGATCAATCCAAATCCGGGTCAGTCAGGCCTTACAGAATCCTGCAAATCCCGCAAGATCCTTCACCGTCAATGCGAAGTATACTGCAAGATCCTGCAGAATCCTGCGCCAAAGCCCGGGTCAGAGCGACCCTGCCCCTGCGGATCCTGCAAGATCGATCCCTCTGGCTGGGTCCCGTTTGCATTGACACCCGTCTCTTGAGCGGCGGGCCCTGGGCTTCCCCCGGGGCCTGCTGAGGCCAGCCAGAACTGCATGCACAGACCGGGCTGTCCGACCAGGCCTGGCCACACACCCTCCGCCTTGCTCCTCTTCCTGCGGGCGGGCGGTACTGAGGGGTGACCAAAGTGCGCGCGGAACCCTGAGCCCCACGGAGACATCGTGAGGTCGGAGACGAGCGGAAGAATCGGGCGGGTGCTCATGAGGGGTGACCCAAACGGGAGGTGAAGAGAGGAGCCCAATTTGGGTCCCTGTTGTGCCCCTGCTGGCTCAAAAAGAGGCCCCACCCCCCATTATAGCCCGCCCAATCTTCCTCCGCTCGCCTCCGACCTCATGATTTCTCCGCTGGGCTCTGGGGCTCCGCGCGTGAGAGGAAGCGAACGCAAGTTCGGCAAGCCGACTCGGAAACTTCTCTCACTCCTGGCTGGCCGAGTTGTGATTCATCCGACTCTCTTCGCCACTCACTCAAGGGAAGGGCGAGTTGAGTGAATCGAGTGAGTTGGAGGTGAGGTTTGGAGACCTTCGCTGAGTCCTAGAGTTGTGCGGCTCAGCTAAATCCGAAAGTTCGGTTTGTGTGACTCAGCCACTCAGCTGGTGCCAGCCAGGTCACGTTCAGCTCCTTGTCGAGACGACCTCGGACGGACCACCGAGCACCTCCGTGTCATGGTGCACAGAAAGAAAACTGTTGTATATGAAAGGGAGGTAAAGAGGGGAAGAGAGAGAGAGAGAGGGTAAACGAGAGAGAGAGAGAGAGAGAAACACATATGAAAAGCCCTTTGGTGCCGTTCCCTCCCTCCGCGCGCTGCCCCTCCGACGCCGCTTCCACTCCCCCCCGGGCACAGGAAGCAGGGATGCGCCGCTGGGCCCGAAGGTCCCGTCGCGCTCACCTTGTCGGAGCCATCGGCGAGCAGTGCGAGCGCGTCCCGGACGCCCCTCTCCTCCGGAGGCTCGCCAACTTTTCACGATCAAGAACTGTTGCTCAGCGTGTCGCCGCGGCGGCCGTGGCGGCACGCCATATCACAGGCATCGGCGTGTCCAGGGAAGGTCACGAGAGGACCATCCTGGCGGCTTTCGGCATCCAGCGTTCCTCGGCGGGCCCCAGGACCGTCAAAAAGCAACTCGGGATGGAGACACCGCCCTCTGGAAAGGGTCGGGACTTCTGAGGACGTCGTGATGAACAAATGAGGATGTCGGGTGTCTGTGGCTATGTCTTGCAAGCGGCAAGCGGACGGAAAGCGATTCGGGATGCTGGGACCAGCTCGGGACCTTGACGCTCGGTGGTGGAGACGCGGGCAGCGTGTCGCGAAGAAGCGCGGTGGGCCAGAACCGGCGGAGAGACACGCTAAGCAAAATTCCTGACTGTAGGCACGTGCCCTGAGATCCGACGCTGCAAACATATTGCACCATCACAAAGAAACACAGCCAAAGCCCTAGACCCCATCTTTCTGCCTCATTGTTCGAGCCCGATCGACCTGTGAGGGTCCCTGGGCACGAACGTGAGCGAAAGCGCCCGTCGTGAAAAAACGGCAACGCTCTCGGGGTGCGCACTGGCACTGGCCGGGCCCCTTCGTGGATCCCGGCATGGGCGCAGCCCTGAGCGGGCCCCAGAAACGGCAGGGCCGTGTTCTTGACAGTTTCCGGAACACTGTTTCTCTCGAAAATGGAAGCGGCATACACGCGGGTCGGAAGAAGCAGGTGAAAACATGCAGTGAGAAGACGGATCAAGTATATTGGGCTCAGGCCTTCCCAGAGAAGAACATAACCACAGCAAGAGCAAATCGATCCTTGAAGTAGGAAGGCGCTTGGAATAGGTTGGCATCAGGGAATCCCAAAAATAGACCTACTTTCAACGACCGGCGTGTACCCGACGTCGGTGGAGACGCACAAGTTAGCGGCTCGCACCGGGGGGTAGGGTTAGGTCGGGCGTGTCCCCCTACAGGGGATTTTCGACGAAACATAAAAGATACCCCGAAACCTATTCCAACATGGTAAACAATACTCAAAACCATCCCCAGACTATTTGTTTACTATTTGGATTTTCCCCCCTGTAGAGGGACAGGCCCGACTTAAGGTTAGGGGGAGGGGGGGAGGGCTTCTCAGAGGGAAGCTGCTTCGTCGAAAGCGCCAGCCCTACCTCTGCAGAGAGGGCCCGCCTCTTCTAAGAGGCGGGGGGTGCCTCTCCCCCTCCCCCCAATGTTGGCCTTAGGTCGGGCATGTCCTCCTACAGGCAGATGTTTTGAGGAATAATGAAAAATAATCCCAAACATAAAAAAGTGGCAAAACGTTTGAAAAGTCGTCCCCATGTGATTTTCTGTCTATTATGGCATTTTCCTCCCGTGGAGGGACGTGCCCGCCTTAATGTTAGCAGCCCCCTCTGCGCGTGGCCGAAATTATCACGGAGTCCACGGATGTCTCGACCCAATCCCCAGGACTTGCGTTCCATCCCGAGCCCTTCTGTAGACGGTCCCGGGGCCCTGCGAAGGCCTCGGGAGGGCGAAAACGGCAACAAATGGCCGCCTGCTCTTTTCTTGGCGGCGAGCGAAGGGGGGCACATGAGAAGGAGAAGGCCTTCTCGGGAGGCGGCGGGTCTTCTCGGAAGCCCTCGCGCCTTCTGAAAAGCTTCTGGTTGCCTTCGGGGGAGGCTCAGAACACTTTTCAGGAGGCCGGGGGACTTCTGGACCTGCTGAGAAGGCCTTTTCCTTCTCGCTTACCCCCCCTCGCTCGCCGCTCTGGGAGCCCGCGGAGGCCTCCCGAAACCTCTGGGAGGCCTCCCCGCGTGGCTGATCATCGAGACCCCAGGAGACCGGCCAGGGCCCGCGGTGCTGCGTTCGCACAGGAACGAACAATGACATAAACATAAGAACTCGGAGGCCCGCGCGGACTTCTCGGATCCGCGCTGGATCCCCTGGCGGCGCCTCCGGCGCCGCCCCTGGCGCGCTCCGCGCGCCAGGGAGGGGGGTTCAACGCGGATCCGAGAAATCCGCGCGGACCCCTGAGTTTTTACGTTCATGTACTTGGTCGTTCCCCCAGTACACGTCGTTAGTGTCTAATCGTGCTCATTTCAAATTCCCTCGTTTCTAATTGTTCCTGCCTCCCCAGTGGCCAGGAAGAGGCCCCGGATAGAACAATTAAAAATGACAGGAACATGGCCCCCCAAAAAATCAGAGAACTCTCGAAGAACTAGTGTGTACCGTTTCCCGGTCTCCTGGTTCTGGGCGCGGTGGAAGATCCTGACCTCGGAGAGCAGCGCACGGTCCAGGCTGCTCCCCTCTTGCCAGAGAAGGACTGCGAGGCCGTTCGAGGGTCGGACCTCCTCCTGCTCCTCCTGCTGGTCCCCACTTCCAGCCTCCTCCTCCTCCTCCTCCACC